TTACTTATAATAATAATAGTATAGTTAGTTACGTTATTACTTACTTACTACTACTAATAATAAGTAATAAGTAAGTAATATATATTTTTTTCATAGAGTAATGCTTCTTTTTCTCACTAACTCTATGAAAAACTAAGAAGATGAGAAGCTGTCCTGTGATTCGAACGTCTGCCGTTATTTTTTTACTTTCAAAGATATAAACCTATGTCCAGTGTTCGTTTTACCAGATAACAAGTAATTAAGAAAAAAAAAAAAACCAGGGGTTGCCTCCAGTAATTTCAGAACGCAATGTTCCTATTTTGTTTTATAATTAACCAACATTGCCGTACATAATTTTTTCAACATTTTACCTAAAATTTTCTTTAAAATCATAAAATCTATTGCACCTTAATGGCTAAAAAATGTATTACAAAAAAAAAAAACAGGTAATATCAATCCAACGTCCCCGCAAAAAATTATAAAGTCCGAACATATAAGTTTGATGTCCAGGTCATTCATGGCCATCTTTCACCTCCCTCTCGCCAAAAGAGTCTCTTCCTCTAGACGTTCCAGACCCTCCCAACTTTCAAAAGCAATCAGCATTTCTTCCTCTCTCTACATTGTCCAATTATTCTCTCTCTAACCCATTTGGGTACGAGTTCAATAAAAGGGGTTCTTCTTTTTACTGGTTCTTCATGTGATGAATTTGGGGCTTTAAAAGCACCCATTTGGGTACCAGTTTAGGAAAAGTAGGTTCCTCTTTTTACTGGTTTTCATGTGATGAATTTGGGGCTTTAAAAGTGGATAATGGCCATTGCCAGCTCCCGTGGGGGTTGTAAATTCTATGGCCGCGGTACTTTTGGTGACCGATTTTTTCTTTTTATTTTCTGTCTTCCTAAACCCTCTCTCAGAAATGGTTACAGGAATGCACAGATTTTTTTTTGAATTTTATAATTGAAAGCCATGACAGCCAACACACATAAGAAGCTCCCGTATGTGCTACATTGAGATGGTATAACTCGGTGATATCAAATTCGGTTCGCTTTGGATTTTAAGTATAAACTGAAGTGAAGAAGAGCATGGGCTGCCATTTCGGGCCGTTTCGGCCGAAGCTTTGGGCTGCTTTATTAAAAAAAGAAATACCGATCTAAATTTTTTATTTTTTATATTTTTAAATTTTTATATATTTTATATATAAATATATAATTTTTTATATTAATTTTTTAAAAAAAATCCAAAGTTTTCTCTCGAATCGGCCAAAGTACCGAGTTGCTTGATCTTTCTCACGAAACCAAAAAATATTCCAAAGCGAATAAGACAACATTGGTATAACTAAGCTTGAGTTACAAGCCCAC